GTCTCTCCCCATGCCTCTCCCCAGGCGTCTCTCCCAGGCTTCTCTCCCAGGTGTCTCTCTCCCAGGCGTCTCTCCCCAGGTGTCTCTCTCCCAGGCCTCTCTCCCCAGGTGTCTCTCTCCCAGGTGTCTCTCCCCCAGGCGTCTCTCTCCCAGGCGTGTCTCCCAGGCGTCTCTCCCAGGTGTTTCTCCCCCAGGTGTCTCTCCCCCAGGCGTTTCACCCAGGCGTCTCTCCCCAGGCGTCTCTCCCAGGCGTCTCTCTCCCAGGCATCTCTCCCAGGCGTCTCTCCCAGGCGTCTCTCCCAGGCGTCTCTCCCAGGTGTCTCTCTCCCAGGCGTCTCTCCCAGACATCTCTCCCAGGTGTCTCTCCCCCAGGTGTCTCTCCCAGGTGTCTCTCTCCCAGGCATCTCTCCCCATGCCTCTCCCCATGCCTCTCCCCAGGCGTCTCTCCCAGGTGTCTCTCTCCCAGACATCTCTCCCCAGGTGTCTCTCTCCCAGGCCTCTCTCCCCAGGTGTCTCTCTCCCAGGTCTCTCTCCCCAGGCATCTCTCTCCCAGGCATCTCTCCCAGGCGTCTCTCCCTGAGGCATCTCTCCCCCAGGCGTCTCTCCCCCAGGCGTCTCTCCCAGGCGTCTCTCCCCCAGGCATGTCTCTCCCCAGGCATCTCTCTCCCACAGCAACAGGCTCAAGGACCGCTGGCAGGGCCCCACACAGATGCTCTCCTAACCCACCCATGCGAGGCCTTGCTCGCAGGCCACGTCCCTGCAAGCCACGTGTGGACCCACCGCGCCCGGGGCGGCGGCCCCTCGCAGGCCCCTGCGCCGGCCTCTCCTGCCCCCAGCCCCCCACGCTATCTTGAGCTTATTCTGGCAGCTGTGCGATCATGCTTTCCGCGATCAAAGACTGAATTCTCAGTGCAAAGAGCTGTTTCAGAGCGAGAGCCCTGACGTGTCGAAATGTCGGGTCACAACAAAGCAAAGCAAACTACTGTTTCATGAAACGTGCAACTCTGTAAGGATTTTGCACCGAAGAGTCTTGCTAAGTGTCAAACCCTGAAGTCAGCGGCCTGTGACGCCTCCGTCAGAGGGCGCGAAGGGGAGAGAAAGGGAGCGAAGCCGGTGGGCGCCGAGCGGGCCCAGCGCCCGGGGGCTGCCTTTGCGAGAGGATGGGGACGCGGCTGGTGCTGAGCTAAGTCTCAAGTAAAGCGTCTCTCTGGACAACGCAGGAGACTCCTGGCTCCCCTTTCTTGTCCTGAGTTTTGCTGTTGACCATGTTTCATTTTCTGACCAGCTGGACAGTTTCTGCCTTTCAGCGGCGGGACAGACGTTTGCTCTGGCTCTGGCATGGCGGCATGTGCTTGTTGCGGTCCCAGTCTGCCCCCCTCTCTGGCGAGGGCCCCCCTCCCCCCTGCTCCCCGCTTTGTTCGCGTGGGAAAGGCTTAGGCTGTGGTTTAGGTTCTGGAGTTTCTGGAGCTTTCCAAAGTCGTTTAAACCTTCAGCTTTCAACTGTTAACGTGAAGAACAATCCCCCGGAAATGGGGCTGGTTCCGAGGGGAGCCCGGGCCGCACTACACAGAGCCGGTGCGGATGGCGAGGGGAGGCCCCTGACGGGAAGCTGGAGCTGGGCTCAGGGGGGCGAGGTCGGCTGACCCAGCGTGGGTTTCTCCACGGCTTCTGGCACCTTCTACACAGCTGCTTTTAGTGGGCAAAGCCTGGCGAGGTGTCCTCGGCCAAGCTCCGCCTGCCTCCAGGGAGGCCCCCCCGACCACCGGCCTTCATTTCTTATGGGAAGAGTGACTTCAGATGAGAACCTACAAACCGCGCTGGCCAGTGCCCAGGGCGCCAGAGGTCACGCCGAGTCCTCCTCTGCCCAGGGGGCCCTCCCCAGCGGGTCTCTGGAGCCCTCCCCAGAGGCGGGGGTGTCCCACAGCTCACCAGCGGAGACCGGCTGGGGCCTGGCCTGCCTGGGTGGCGAACTGACGGCGCAGTGGGCACCGGAGGGCGGGGGCGAAGGAGGGCAGAGCTCTGCAGGGGGCGGGTGTAGGTGGGCCACAGCAGCAGGGGGTGGGCGTGGCCGGAGCACAGTGACCGGAGCCGGACAGCACACCAGAAGCCCAGATCTCAGGGGACACGCGGCCCCCGGAACACTCCTCCCACCGCGTCCCCTCCTGACCGCCGGCCACATTCCTCTCATCATCCCTGATGTCCCCTCTCCGTCCAAACACTGGTCAGCTGAGGCTCCCAGGCGCCTCTTTCCATCTTTTATCGGCTCTTTCTCTCTGCCCGCTACGAACCGCTACGAACCTCCGGGCAGCTCAGCGATGCGCTCAGCCCGACGGATGGGCAAAGTCAGCCGCGACGAGGCAGGGAGCCACAAGCCCCAGGCTGCCGCTCCGTGTCGGGGAAGGAGGCTGAGGGTGTCCTTTCAGGGACCCCTCTCCGCCCAGGTCAAGGCACCCCAGCTCGGAGGTGTGGGGAAGGCCGTGACAGGCCCAGATGACCAGCTGCGGCCCCACTCTAGTGCCGTGTTCCCCAGCGCTCTGCGTCCACGCGGCCTGGGGTCCCCGACAGTCACCCCAAAGGGTACAGAGCCGCAATCTTACTCTCCAAAGAAACAGCAACGCCGGGGACACCGACAGACGGGCGGAGCGCTCCTGCCAGGGACCTTGGCATTTTTTCGCTGCCTGCGAATTTCCCTGCATGATCGGGATGGCTAAACCCTGCCGGGGGTTCTTCCAGGGAGGCCCGAGCCCCTGTGTGAGCAGCCTGGCACCGGCTGTTGAGGGGAGCCCCCGCCTGCAGCTTACCTCCTGCAGCTTGATCTCCTCGGGCTGGAGGATGTCCAGCACCCCGCTGCTCCGAATCTCCGGGAGGTCCTGCCAGAGGTTGAACCTGGAGTGTGGGTTACTGAGCAGGCAGATCTGTGGCAGAGCTTTCCTCACGGGCAGGCTGGCCGGCTCCGGCTCCAGCTCCTGCTCTTCCTCTGGGGTCTCCCCACTGCCCGGGGACCCGTCGACATTAGTCTGTATTTCTGCATCTTGCTTCCTCCTGGTTTCGATCTCCTGGAGTGTCGATTTATCTCGGTATTCCTGATACAGGAGCCCTGGGAGCAAACAGAGTGGCGATGAAGAAAAGAGAGATTTTCAGGCCAAGGTGCTTCCGGACGCTCGCCAAGGCCCGTCGAGGCCAGCGCTCCCGTCCGAGGAGCGGTGGAGCCGAGCCGGCGTCTCAGCCGCGCCTTCCTCTCCTGAGTGAGATCGTCACGCCTAAGAGCTTTTACATCAAAGATAGAGTGATCCCGAAATGGTCGCAAAGTCCAATCACACGCCGTTACGCTGGCAGACCTGCAAGCTACCTGGCAGACCACAGGAGCCTAGTACTTGGCGTGTCAGCCACCGATGTGTGGATGGAAATGTCCCCTGGGCTCAACGCCCTCCAGAGTGTTAAATGCACCCACATTAAAACTCACACATGGGGCCCTCCCTGGTGGCGCAGCGGGTTAAAGCGCAAAGAAACTTAAGCCACTTCCGCATGAGTTCGATCCCCACTTGCCCTGGAGGAGAGATCCACATGGCGCGGCAGACCTCTCCTGGCCCCCCGCTGCTCCCCTCAGCAGTGGACTTTGTCGATCTGCCTGTTCTGCTCCCCACTCTGTCTCTGATGAATCCTCTCACCCTCTGCATCTCTGGCCTGTACCCCAGTTCTGTACAAATAAATAAATAAATCTTTAAAAAAAAAACCTCACACATGGTCCCTCCCTGGGGTGCAGCGGGTTACACCACAGCACTGAGAAGCTAAAGCCACTTCCGCATGAGTTCGATCCCAGGTCCCAGATGTGACCCACATGGTGGGCAGACCTCTCCTGGCCCGCCCGCTACTCCCTTCAGCAATGGACTTCGTAGATCAGCCTCTTCTGCTCCCCACTCTGTCTCTGGTGAATCCTCTCACCGCCCCTGCACCTCAGGCCTGTACCCCAGTTCTGTATGAATAAATAAATAAATCTTAACAAAAACAAAAACCTCACACATACTGATGCAACAGGTTGGGACGAAGCACACTAGCTGGCCACAGCAGCTTCAGTTTGAGTTCCATCCCTGCCCCGGAGGTGACCCACAGGGCACAGCAGACCTCTCCTGCCTCGCCCGCTGCCTCGCCCGCTGCTCCCCTCAGCAGTGTATTTCGTCGACCCGCCTAGCTCTAGAGGGGATCTGCTCCCCACTCTGTCTCTGGGGAATCCTCTCACCACCCCTGCACCTCTGGCCTGTACCCCAGTTCTGTATACATAAAAAAATAGGAAAACCTACTATTTCAGCAACCTGAAGATGCTAAAGGAAAACATCCCTTTCTGCTTTCATGGCTCAGACGTCTTCTCCTGACCAACTGCATGTGGGATAGGCGGACCCTGGCTCTAAGATCTGGGGGGTCAGCAGGATGTGCACACAGGCAGCACCGCCACCAGGCAAATGTCATCTCTGGTGTCCAGCCTCAGGCGGGGGCTGGACTCTGCATGCTGGGCTTGTCCACGCGCCCACCATGGTGGAGGCTGCCTGTGCGAGGGGAGGGCTGGCGAGTCCCCAGGCAAGCAGCCCTGCTCTCTGCTCAGGAGGACGAGTGAGGAGGAGGACGGGTGTCAGTTCTCTAGGTGAGGGTCTGCGCTGCTGTGCGCCTCACTGAGGGAGTCGTGTCCTGAGCCGGGCGCAGTGGTTAAGGCAGAGGCCGACCTGGTGGGGACTGGTGCTGCGTCACAAATGAAACCAGGTGACCAGGTGGCCCCACTTACGGAGACCAGGGACATGGGAGGGGCTTCAACTAAAGGGTGGGGTGATGGGGATCCAGGGACACCTGCAGAGGTGGACACACTGGTCTGGAGACTGGTCAGGGCCCCTGATATGTCTAGTAAACAAAGACACTTTGCCCTAGAAAGTTCTAACTGGGGTGAACGGACCACCGCTCTCTCTGACAGTGCAGCAGAGGTCAGCCACGACTACGTCTTGTGAATCTGCCCCATGCAACTGAACAGTAAAGCAAGGAAAGTGAGCTGCTCTGAAACCCTAAGGAGGGTGGACAAGCCCATAAACAGGAGCCCGATACCTCAGCCCTGCGATGAACGAGTAGTCTTCCTTTGCTCCATAAAGCTAAATTATAAAGGCTTCAGGGTAAATGTAACGTGTACTTAAAACAATTAAGAGCCTGCGTTTTTGCAATGTTACAATCCAGCAGACTATTACAAGGAGTTCATCAGACGGAGGAATCAACAGGGAAACTGGCCCTTCCAAGAATGCAGACGACCCAGACAGGTTCTGCTGCCCGCCTGAGACAGATCACGAGTGCTGACATCAAACCAATCATTTGTTTATGTGACTGAAAAAAGCTGGTTTGGATTCACTTTTCATTGCTTAGTGTGGTGCCTCCCACATAGTAGGTCTGCATATATCTGTGGAATTGAACCAATGTAATTTCCAAGCTTCACAAAAGGGTTTCATTTGATATATTTTGAAGGTTCAAAAATATGGCTTATGTATCCTACAGTTGGCAATCCTGGGTGAACACTATCGCCAACATCTCACTGCGCTATGTGATCTCACATATGCCGAAAAAAGACAAAAATATCAGCATTGTGGGTAGCTGGGTTGGAAGCAATTATTTCTGAGACACCATTGGCTGTCCTTCCTCCATCTCCTCATATCTTTTCTTCCCAGAAGATGCGGGAAGGGCTTGGTTGGGTGCTGACCCAATCTGTGCTGGAGAGTGGGTGAATTTGACTGAACAAAACTTTCCATGACAATTCCCTGTGTCAATGTTGGCTTTAGACTTTGGCAGATGACACAACCTGGCTAAAGAGAGTAAGGGGATGTCAGCTAAGGTCTCAAAAAGATGCCCTCGCCAATAGACACTGAAGACGAATGGCCCTTCTGTTTCTACACATGGCTGCTTGAGGATGTGATGCCTGGAGCTGCGGCAGCCATTCTGGGATATGAAGCCCAAATGCTGAAGGGGAAGAGGCTGATCCATTTTTGGTTGAATGCGCTAACTCCAGGATTTCTCACCCATGGAATCAGGTCACTTCCCCCAACCCCCACATATTCGTGACTTGCAGCCCAAAACTCCCAGTACAAATAATCTCAGAATTTTCTTCAAGCATCCTACTTTTGGAAATATTTAGAATATGTAGTCGAACACCAGCTTTCCTGGAATTACTCTGATTACCAACAGTTATCTGAAACACCATGTGACACTTTTCACATTGTTCATTTTCACTCGTCTTAAGCTTCAGATTACATTTAATAAAAATAAACTAATTTTACCTGAAGAGCTATATATTATCAGATTAACTTCTGTACTCGATCAGCTGCCAATCTATCAAGTTTTCCTATTTTATATTTTATACATTCAGTGAGCATAATTTTAAATGGAAGTTAATTTTAGCTGTGAAATCTTGCACTTGGATTTTACTCATACAGACTCAGAAGGCTGTTCCCCTCTCTCCCAGTCAACACCATCTATGCCAGCCTGGCTGTACTGCCCTGAAGAAGGAGGCAAAACGCCTAGACCCTCTTGTCAAAGCCCCTAGAGTTACTGATTTCTGAAGAGTCATTTTGTTTCTTTTTAATGTTCCAGCAAAAACATCTAAAAGGTCAGGGGATTCCCTTAGTTTTCAGTGAGCACCTTCTATGTGTCCAGCATTTGTGAGGTGCCAGAGACGGGTCTCAGGCCGGGCTGTGAAGCTCAAGCGCGGTCTGAAGCTCGCTGCACCTTCCTGCCCTCTTGAGCCCGCAGTGTCTTCACGAGCCTGCGTCCCTTCCTACGCCTGCAGGAATTCACAGCGCAGAAAGCAGGCAGGTGGTTGTGGGAATCTGCTTTGCACAGGCTGGGCCATGAGGGAGTCAGGGAGACTGCTCCGTGCTGTACTGGACACCTGAACTTCCAGCGGACGGTGGGGTTGGGAGGAAGGACTCGGGTCAGCCCGCTGTCTGCCAGGCGGAGGGGAGCAGGCATCTGCACTTGCCCAGGGTCTCGGCTCCCCGTGTGGACCCTCGAGGTCCGCCTGCTCCCCGGGGGGTGGTCGCCCTACACACCCTCCTGGCAAACTGGGCCTGGGGAAAGCTGTGTCCTAGCAAGCCCACACATGGCGTCTCCCTGAAACAGGAGACCCTCCACTGGCGTCTCCTTCCTGATCTTAGCCCAGGAGGGTCCATTTCAAGTTGTCCAGCTCCGCAGCCTCAGTTCCCACGCAGCTCCTCTCTCATTTCCCCAGCAGAAGAGGAAAAGGCAGGGCCACCCTCGGGGCTGACGCTGGGGACCCAGCCCGAGTCAGCTCCCGCGCTCCGCCCCTCGGCCCTCCTCTCAGGTTCTGCTTGGAAAAGGGAAGGAGGGCCGAGAGCTGAGGTCTGGGAACGGGCCTCCTGGGGGACGGAGGCGTTGCTGTTGGAGTCTGGAGACACCCCAGGTCCACCGGCGCCAGCGTTTGGGCGCAGGGCTCCGTGGGGTATTATTTAGGTGAGGAAGCCCCAAGCCAGGAGTGCGAGTTGAGCCAACTGCGGTCTGTCGCCTGGGACCACTGCTTTCCCACCCACGGAGCCCACATGACCAGTCCGCAGGACCGAAGGAAGCAACTTGTGACGCTGAATGCAAGTGCTGGCGTCCCGCCCCTTCTCCACCCACTCTCCGCGCTCAGGGCCGCCCACAGCCTGGCCCGCAGGTGAGGCGGTGGGTGGGGCTCTGGTCCTGCCCTGCTCTACCGCCCTCGCTGCTGACGGCGCCAAGTCAGCAGGGCGAGGGGCTCTGAAGCCCACCCCTCGCCTGGCTCTCTCGGGAGGCTCTCCCCTCTAGCTCCAACCTACACCCCCAGCTGCCGCTAGAGACCGGGTCCTGCCCAGGCCCCCCAGCCCTGGTCTCCTCCTCCTTCGGGCACCGCACCCACCTTCCTGGCAGAAGTGCCTGGGAAGGCGAGGCCGTCCAGCCGAGGGCGCGCGGACCCCTGCGGAGCCAGCGGGTCTGAAAGGCGGATGCCTAAGCCCAGGCGCCTGCAAATGCTCAGGAGCCACTGAGAACCAACTATGTAAAAAATGCCGGCAGCCAGTCAGATACATTTGCTCACACGAAACGCAGGGGCGCCTCCCGCGCAGAGGAACCTTGGAGTCCACCGAGAACCCACGTTTCCCAAGTGAAGCCCGCGGCCCGACACCCACCTATTTGTTCGATGAGGTTTCGCCAGGAGTCGGCGGGAATGGGGTGGATCATCTGCAGGGCCTCGGTGAGCGTGGTGGGGCTGTCAGCGAGCGCCGGGCACTCCTCGGGCGTGGCCCCATTTCCCGGGGTGGAGGAAGACTCGCTGCCACAGAGAGGGGAGGGGCAGGGCTGGTTATTTTTAAGCAACGACACACCTTGGCCAGCTCGCCAGAGGCGTCCGCAGCAGCGGCTCTAGCCAGCTGGATCCTGCTCCGACCATCCCCTCCCGGACAGGCGGGCCCCACAGGCCCGTTCTGTCACCGCACAGGGTGCGACCGGGTGATTCATCCCCACACCAGCCCGCCCAAACCTTCATGTTTTCGGAGCTAGCGGGCAGGCGTCGGAAACTTGGCGCGCGCTGCCCGCTCCGCGGCGCCGACCGGCCGCCCCGACGGC